AAACACGTGACCTTCCTAAAACAAAGACCTCTAGATAGGCTGACTAGGTTCACCAGATGGACAAGTAGTGGGGAATGGCTGGGGTGCTGACAACACAGCAGACAGTAGCAGGGATATCAGAGTATAAGGGCTTTAGTCGGGGGAGGGAGGCTATGGGAGGGTGCCATCTGGGAAGTGGATGTAAAGTTGAATAAAATGGTTTGGGAAGTTCTTTGTGGTATATACACACAAAAAAAAATCAACAAATTTTTAAAAATGTATTGTATTTGAGGAGGAAGCATAAAGTTTACATCATGTTGGTTAGTAGAGGTGATGAATATTACCATTGAAATCTCCCTGATGACTTTATAGACATACACAGGTGCCAAGGATCCGAGTGGAAATGACTATGACTAGTAATAATTAGATACATACAGATTAGAAATGCATGCACCAACATGTCCGTGTTAGTAGCGAAACAATGAGTCTTTCTGTAAGAAACAGTATATTTTAGAATGAAATGGAGATCTTTTTTGAGGGTTAAAAACTCATTCAATTTTATGTCTTACAGGGCTTATGCTGAGTTCAGTATTGTATAACTGTATTGATTCAACATCGAAACTAGAAATTTTATAGCCTGTTTTGAAGAATCTGTGTCTTTGCTCTGGAAAATGTTATGGGACATGTTAAAGCTATAATGATATCCTCCTTCTCAAAAAAATAAAAAATAATATTAAAAAATGTAGGAAGCAGCATATCTTGAAATGGAGTTCTTCTTTAAAGGGTAAAAACTCATTCAATTTTATATGTTACAGGGTTTATACTGAGTTCAATATTGTATAACTGTATTAATTCAACTGTGAAACTAAAAATTTACAGCCACTTTTGAAAGAGATGTATCCTTGCTCTGGAGTGTGTTACTGAATATGTTAAAGCTGTAATGAAATGCTTCTTCTAATCATATGGTTAATAATTTTTTTTAATTTAAAAAAATTCTTCAAAGCATAAAAATTTGCTCCTTAATAATTAGTAGATATGAAAAACATTACCATTGAAATCTACCTGATGACTTTATATCCATGCTCAGATGCCAAGGAGCTCAGAAAGTAACCAACTGTGACTAGTAATAATCAGATATATAGAGATTAGAAATGCATGTGCAAACATCTTAGTGTCAATTGCATTAAAAATGAATTTTTCTGTATGAAACTGTGTATTTTAATAATGAAATGGAGATCTTTTTTAAAGGTTAGAACCTCATTTAATTTTATATCTTACAGGGTTTATACTGAGTACACTATTGTATAACTGTATTAATTCAACTGTAAACCTAAAAATGTACAGCCAGTTTTGAAACAGATGCATCTTAGCTCTGGAAATTGTTATTGAATATGTCAACGCTGTTGTCATGAAATGCTCCTTCTAATTATGTGGTTATTAAATAAATAATTTTTAAAAATTCTGCTAAAATTTTAAACATCTCTGACAGGCTTCCATGGGAAGCTTCTGCTAAGCAGATGGAGCTTCCTTTGGAGGTAGAAAAATGAAAGTCTTAGGCCACAGAGCTGTCTATGACCATCGTCTCGGACCTGCCACATGGGCTTTCTTATGTATGCACCTGTTGTTGACTGAGTCTTGACACCTGTCTCCAGACAGAGTAGAGTGTATAAGGGATAGAGGGCCTGAGCCAGCAACTAAAGGGGGACAGTTTCTTTCAGTATAGCCCACATTGACTATGAACTCACTATCATTCTGCCTCAGCTTCTAAGAGCTGGGATTACAGATGTGTACCACCATACCTGGTTTCTAAGAGAACTTTTAGAGTCTGTTTCCTCCTCTGGGAAAAACCATTGCTGAGATTTAATGAAATGCAAGTCTCTGCACAATACCCAGCATACTACCTATCAGGTGTCAAACATTCACAAAGTCTTAGCTGTTATGATTTTACTGTGTCATGCCATGTACACGGTGAAGAACCACCTAGAAGGAATGGGAATTTCGTAACATCTGAATCACGTACTCATTTTTCATTCTCTTCCCACAAAGTATTAACTGGAAATACATGGAAGATGTAAATAAGTCCTGGCTTTTGTAGTCTTAAAGTACTTTTACAATATTGCCTGGATAGCAAGATGCTATTCTCTTACAAGTTGGTATTTATTGATTTGAGAATCTCTTCAGGCTCACTCCACAAGGTAATGTGTAATGAGCTTTTAATTCTATGCACCATAAAGGGGGAAACCAAGCACAGACAGTTTATTTAACCTACGTAGCATGCATGTATCTATATGGCAGAGGTGCCCAATAGGTGGTCTGGGAGCTGGAGGGATGGCTCAGCTATTAAGAACTCTGGCTGCTCTTGCAGAGGACCCAGGCTCAGTTCTCAGCACTCACATGGTGATTAACAACCAACTGCAACTCCAGTTCCAAGGAATCTAAAGTCCCCTTTTGGCCTCCAAGGGCACCAAGCACGCACATGGTACGCATGTATACATGTAGGAAAATCACATACATATAAAATTAAACAAATTTTAAAATGGGGGATCGATTCCTTGTAAGAAGCAAAAGCTTGTAGAATAGTCTCCTCCTTCCTCAAGTGCCTGATGCCTCACAGCCACAAGTTAGAAACGGATGCAGGAGAAGCACACTGGAGCCATGACATTGGCCTGAGAATAAAGTCCTTCAGATAGTGACAGGGTTGACTGATGGTGGAATGAAGGACCACATTGATTCCAAATCAACCTAGTATCCTAATGATGACCTGGAACCTAATCCCTGTGTCTCTCCTGGGCTGTCCTATGTTTGTCCTTTCTGTCCTTCCTGCCGCCTTACCCTTCAACCATGATGAAGTCTTTCAGATAAAACTGAGAGGCCCAGCAGTCAGAGGGTGAAGAAAAAGAACAGTTTGAATCCAATACCAGAGCTCATGTTCATCTTTGTTTTTGAGCCTGAGCTAGCTATGCTGCCCTCAAGGTCTAGATCATTCCTGGGTTCCACTGTGCCCCACAGTGTTGTACTTGTCTATTAGCTTAGCCTCCCATTCAGTGTCCCCAGGAGCACTCTGCAAGACCAAGGTCTCTTGGCTTCAGTTTGGTCTTGCATCTCAGACAGTTTTGCATCTCAGACAGTTTGGTCTTGCATCTCGAGAGGTAGAGGTCTTCAGTTTGGTCTTGCATCTCAGGCAGTTTGGTCTTGCATCTCAGGCAGAGGTCTTCAGTTTGGTCTTACATCTCACAAGAGGAAGAAGGAAGATAGCCACTGGCCTCAGAATATTCCTGTCATAAAAAGCAGCCTGCTTACATTTCCAATCTGGTAGATACATATGTATTGCCAGTAGAGGACAGATATTTAGCTGTAAATTTTCAGAAGCATCAAATAATAAAGGCTACTAAATTAATGTTATCTTTTGTGGCTGAATGAACTCAGGGAGGAAAAATAATAGGAAAAGGTCAGTGCTTTCGTAATTCCCTGCAGCCATAGTTAATAGTTGCTAAAGTCACAGAACATATTCTCTGGTTCTTTTTCTATCCCCGAGACTGTGCCATTGGGAATTACATCACTAATGATTAACTGAAGTGGATGTTCAAGGTAGGGAGGCTGTTTCTATGTTTTTTCCACTCAAACCAAATAACTAGGCATTTTATTCATGTGTGTGGGGGTGTCCTGGTTTCCAGTGGTTGCACACTACAATGTGTAAACACGTATCTCATTCGTTCCCCTTCACCTTTGTTCCTTTTGTGTTTTCAAAGAGAATGACAGTTTTTTAATACCCACACAGAAGTGGGTGGATATAACTGAGCTATCTCATGCATTGAGAATACTGACAAGCTGTTTTTGTGATAAGGAACCAATGTGAGGCAGGGGCCAGGAGAAGGGACAGCCATTATAGCAGCTTTTCAGGGGCTCTGTATACTTGAGAGGGAGAAAGGAAGGACATGATTATTTCTTTTCTCTTCATGGTTTTTGTTCCCATTCTCTCTTTAGACAAAACCTGTTGCATTTGCGGTTCGGACAAATGTCAGCTACAGCGCAGCCCATGAAGATGATGTTCCAGTTCCAAGCATGGCCATCTCATTCGAGGCGAAAGATTTTCTGCATGTTAAGGAAGTAAGGAAAATGAATATTGGTTTCTCTTAGTGTGATTTTTCACCTCGAAATCTCATTTTTTATTTCTTGCTGCTGTGAAACAGCGTTGGGTCTAGCTGTAGTTATATAATGTGCATACTAAACTAGTGGCCCGCAGCCTTTTCTGATGTAAGTAAACATTTTCAGTGTAGAAAGGAGTCAGAGGTTTCTGGCAATAACTTTAGGGCCCCTTGGGCTCTGTGGCCCAGAAACTGGGAACTATTAGGTTAGATGATCCATTTTTATGTGTAACCTGCACTTTGTCTCTTAATGTTTAGCCTTGATTGATTGTATAACTTTTTCTGATGTCTGAAGTTTGAGTCATCTGGGGAAGAGGGTTTTTTGTTTTGTTTTATTTTTTTTGAGATAGAGTTTCACTTTGTAGCCCAGGCCAGCCTGGACTATGCTGTGTAGCCCAGGTTGTCCTTAAGCTTGCAGTGATCCCCTGCTTCAGTGACCTGAGTGTTGGACTTACAGGCATGAACCACCATGCCTGGCTCCTGGGGGAGGGTTTTTATAAGATCTAGAATTCATGACTCACTTCTCTGTTGCAAACATCTGAACTCATAACTTTGGTGCCATTTTCCACCTTAGATGCAGATGTGCCCAGTGGAAAGAGAACAGTAGAAATTGGAGTGAGCAAGGCGAGAAGCAGATACCAGGAAAATTCTATTTTCTATAAGTTCTAGATCCCTCCCTTCCCATTAACAATGACACAATCTGTAAATTGGAAAAACATTATACCGAGTAACAGAAATTCCTCCTACCTGATGACAGTCTGCATGCATATAAGCTCTTTTTGGACCTGTCAGGGGAGGTAGTACAATTGGAGCACTTCCATTCAAGGGGTAAGTCCTAGGGAGCTCATTACAGTTCAGCTGATGAAATGCTAAATGGTGTAAGGGAAAGGTGGTAAAGACTGCCCACCACAGAACCTTCCATTCCAGTAACTCCTGGGTAGAGATGTGAAATACTAGGTGGAAAAGACAACAGTCAGAAACATTTTCAGAAATGATGGTGAATCTAGAATCCCACTTTATAACAGGAAGTCAGACTAATATACAGTTCTCTTGGTGGCTAATACTTTGAGGAGGATCACTCTATTATGGAAATAAAAACCGTGAACATTCTTCTTTGAAGAGTTTGAGAACAGACTTAACTGAGAAAAATGAAATTAGATCGTGAAGCTTCAAGATAAATATTCTACCTGCAAGAGACAAATTGTCAACATCAGCACAAGAAACACCATCTGGGAAGAGAACTGCATAATTATAAAACTGCACAAAGGTACATTTTGCTGACATAAAATAGTCAGGTACATTTCACTATTTATCCCTCAATATGAGTACTTCTCATTAATCTCATTCTACTAGAAAAGAGTGCCACAACACTTACAGGTTCCTAATGGTCTCTTGCTAGTGATGGTTATTAACCTTTGACCCTGAACAGCTAATGACAGAATTCAGCTTGGTTCTAAAGGCAGCACCAGTAAACACAAGGAATCTGAAGTCATCATTTGTGTACTGAGCACACCAAACATACTTCACTCTTGGGTGCTAAGTCCACGAACCTGGCAGCTTCTTGAATTAGGGTAGTTCGAGCATATTTCATTATAAATGCCATATTTCTCTCCAATGAAAATAGTTCATGTAGAAGGAATCAATTCAGAAATTTGAACTTCTGTGCACTAATGTTAATACTTTTGATTTTGTGTTTAGAAATTTAATAATGACTGGTGGATAGGACGACTGGTTAAAGAAGGCTGTGAAATCGGATTTATCCCAAGTCCAGTCAAACTAGAAAACATGAGGCTACAGCATGAACAGAGAGCCAAGCAAGGGAAATTCTACTCCAGGTATGAGGAGAATGTCACCTGCTTCTGTGAAACTTCATATTCTGCGTCATTTGTCCTGCTGTTTCCTGTATTCTGTAATCCTTACTATGCATCGAGCAGACACTGATCTGGTTCACTGATAGCATCACAACAGTGCCTAACAAAACTTCATCCTGGCATCTGAGTTCCATCCCATCTGAGAGAGAATCAAATTAATTATCATCATTAACAAAAACAGCTCAGGTCACAGAGCATCAAGTCTGCCTTCAGCACACAGGAGAATCTGCAGTCCTAATACTGCTGAACATACCCTCACATGTAGCAACCATGGTTATTAGTCCAAGTGTCTGAAGCTGCCGGTATGGCTGGCGAAGTTTCAGAGACAACAGTCTCAGGCCGCAGCTTCTGTGGTCTGTTCATTTTCACCTGAGAATTCAATTTTCAGTTCTATCAACTGTTAGGCACCTGAAAAGATACTAAGTATAAAGCAAGTTAAAATTGTCTTTGCAGATAGCAATCAGATGGGTTATATAATAGGCTGAGTGTGAATACTCCTTCCTAGGAAGCTTAAAGTTGTTAACCCTTCACTGAAACACTAGCATTGTGAATTTCATATTGTACCCCTTGGAGTCAAGTCCAAGAATACATCATGCTTATCTTTGAAGGACATAGTGAAGACTTTTCACCATGTGGATGACTAAGCTTCTATTTTCTCTGGCTTACATCTTGCTTTTTTTATGTAATTATGTAAACTCCTTTGTTGGTGATAATATCTTAATGTTAGCAGGTTTTTCCACCCACTCTCACTAGATGAATGAAACAGGGTAAACCCGTCCACACTGCAGCTGGCATCTGGTCACCATGAAGCTCCCAACAGCTTATCACTTATTCCAGGGAACTAGCTTGCTTTGTCTTATAGCAGTGTACTCTTTCCTTTGGTTTTCTTAACTTTTTTATTTTATTATTTTATTTTATTTTATTTTATTTTATTTTACCCTATCTCTTTACCAAAGCTTTTGCCTAAGGATGTAAAATAACTCTTACTCACTGGTAAGAGTTATTTGCCTTCTAATACTTTGTATATTTCCTGAGGACATAATAAGAGTCTAATGGTATTTGAAAAGTATGTGTATATTCACATATATGCATATATATATATGTTACAGAGACTGAAACAAATAAAAATCAGTAATATTGGAGCAGTTTAAGAACTTGGCAACTGGATAACATTAAAAGTACACATCTGCACTGAACATTTGAACTATTAGCAACATCTATCACAATTTTACACAACGCAGTATTTTTACTATTAAAATTTAGAAATAATGTAAACAAACCCATTCTTGAACTAAAATTAGACTTAGTATTTCAAATAGAATGAAAAAGAAAGATCAGGGCTGGAAAGATAGCTCAGTGGTTAAGAACACGTCCTCTTGCAGAGGACTTGGGTTTGGGTCCCAGCACCTACATCAGATGATTCACAACCACTTATAACCCATTTCCTGGGGATCCAATGCTCTCTTCTTGCCTCTGTACATGGTTCATAGTCAGCCCCCCCACACACACACACATAAAGATTTTACAAAATTAAAAGAAAGGTAAAAGCCTCAGGAAGGAAATGTTTGACCTTAGCAATAAGTGCCCTCAATATAATTGTCAGAAGTGATTATGTAATGTTCTACTTTTTACTCTATATACTATCTTGTGTCTTATTTGATACACAGAAGTATGTAAGAGCCTTAGAGAGAGAGAGAGAGAGAGAGAGAGAGAGAGAGAGAGAGAGAGAGATATGAACGGGTGGTACATAGATGGAGTTTGGAACACTGTGAATTGCATTCTTCTATCACCTCAGTATTTGAAAATGACAGTAGGAGAGAGAGAGAGAGAGAGACACCCTACCTGCTAGTTGTTCAGTAAAGTTCTTAACATTTGTTTTGTGCATCAAAATTCTAGAAGACTGGCTATAAACTTCAACCAGTTAGTAAAGGTGGAACTTTCATTCTCATGCCCACGTTTTACCAGGTTAAAAGTGTCTTTTGAGGTAAGACATGATAGACAAATCTTTCAAGGAGACCTTGTCTCATCTATGATAAAAAGTATTAGGCAGTGCAGCCATCCTGCCCAAACCCCATGACATTCTTATTCTGTTAATATGTTTCTTGCAATATTTATGTGTAGAGGGACCACACACATTCCTATGTACTGGTAAACCACAAATTCTACTATTAACTCCAGAGTTTCTAAGATGTGTATATTCTATCAAACATTAGAATTGGCAATTCAGATTTTTTTTTTAATTTTTTAAGTCGGACACAAGGTATTAGATGTCATTATGGCTTTATTTTATTTTATTTTATTATTTTGGTCTTTTTGAGCCAGTCTCCCTGTACTCACTGTGGAGACCAGACTGGCCTCCATCTCACAGAGATCCATCTGCCTCTGCCTCCCAAGGGCTGGGTTTAAAGGTGTGCACCACTACACCCAGCCATTAAGGCAGTTTTGAATAAAGTGTTTCAATGACTCTCCTATACCAGTTTAGCAGTTTTGATTAATCTTCACAGTAGTCTTAAACTGACCAAGTTTAATCCTCCTCATCTTGATACTGCCTTTTGGTTAAATCATAATGCAAATTGTGTTAAGTTTTTTCTTATGTCTTAAAGGTTAGCAAGTATTGCTGTGTTTTTCTTTTCCAGATTGCTATGAAAGCTGTACTTCAACCTTAAGATCCTAAAAATAGTCAAACTACACCAAAACAGGGTTGGACATAAGAAGGAAACATTTAGTTTAGGTGTTAGCCTTAAGATCCCTAGTCTTTATGAATTCATGTCTGATCCCTAGTCTCTACGAACTCAGCAAGTTCTCAAGGGCAGGAAGGAGGCAAATGTTCAACTACCACACTGCACTATGAGCTATAAACTTCAGTGCTAAGTAAGAAGTAGGATTCCAATGGAAAGCAAAGGAAATTGCTCCTGTCCAGCCACCTGTGCTCTGGCCACAGAACTTAAGGGCTACAGAAATTATCCTAGCTCCCTTCCATTCTCTCGGGGACTTTTAAAAATTAAACCTTGAACTTCAAGACAGAGAATCTTATAAAATTGTTTCAAGTATTCCAGGAGTCTCCATTCAGAAATTACTGTTCGCTTCCTTGTAAGAGATGCACATTTAAAGTACAATAAAAACACACTGAATTATCATATTTATCGAGCAACTGAAATGTTTTAGGATCTGAAGCAAGTGTTGGATTTAATATGGATTTCTGCTTTACTTCAGTAAATCAGGAGGAAACTCTTCATCCAGCTTGGGTGACATAGTACCTAGTTCCAGAAAGTCTACACCACCATCATCTGGTAAGTAGATCAGTGCTGACCACTACACTGAGTTTCATGATTTCCAGGTCTTCTGTCGTTGTGTGGAGCGAGCGAGCGAGCGAGCGAGCGAGATAGATAGATAGATAGATAGATAGATAGATAGATAGATAGATAGATAGATAGATCGATGGTAGATAGATAGATGATAGATAGATAGATAGATAGATGAGATAGATAGATAGATAGATGATAGAGAGATAGATAGATAGATAGATAGATAGATAGATAGATAGATGATAGATAGATAGATAGATTTTTTTTATTATTCAATCCTACAAATGTGAAAATGTATCAGAAATAAAAATGCACCCTTGAAGTTAAGAACACTATGGGAAGTATTTTGTTTTTTGTTCTTGCTTGTTTGTTTGTTTGTTTCCTGGCCTTGAGAAACTGAAAAGGAAGTTTACTAATGTGTTTACTCTAAGTTGTTATAAAAATGATAAATGTAATTTAATTGCTGATCCCTAGTCTCTATGATAACATGTTGTCAAGGGCAAGAAGAGTCAAACATTCACCAACTACCACACTGTACTATGAGGTATAACCTTCAGTGCTAATTAAGAGGAGAAGTAGGATTCCAACTATAGAACAGTGAGACAGAGAAGTGCAGACGGCGTGCCCTAAGAGACACCCAACACGGTTTGGGAAAGATGGAGACATGCAGAGAAATTTTAAAGCAAAAAACCCTGAAAATACTTAAGGAGGAGTGACTGTTTTTTCTGTTTTCTTTCCCCAAAGCAATGGTTCATTTTTAAGGTTGCCAGACAAGGGACAGCAAGTTAAGTATGAGTTTTAGGTAGATAAATTTTAGTATCTACTATAAAGTAATAGTAATAGTATCTATACTATTTAGTATCTATAAGTGTAAATTTAATATGTATAATATAAATATATTTAGTATAAACACAACTAAATACAAATCTGAATTTTAAGTAAACACAAATAGTTTAGTGTACTAAAATTTATGAGGCAACACTAAATTTATCTACAATGTATTTTACTATATTTTAATAAATTTGGCAGCTCTACATTATGTGTAGAAATTAAAGTTCTATACCTACGTCCCCATTTTGACAGCTTTTACCAAGTAAACACTTTGCAAAAACTATGGAATTTTTTAAGTGAGCAAAATCTGGTCACAGAAGGAAATAAGTTGGTTTAGAATGCATGTTGGTTGTAAAAACACTGACCACACAACTTGCAGCATTCTTAAGCCACCAGATAGTATGCTTAAAATGAAAATTGAAGCCCTTGTAGCACTAATGTGAAGCTTAAGCCTTCCCTTGACCAAGGCAGAGTGAGGGTTGCCCAGATGCACGCTAATCATTTAGTGAAATAATGAGACGTGCAGGCATGCCGGAGAATAAATTAGTGTACATGTAAGGTAAGATTTCATTTTGTAGTCATATTGTTACTAAAAATAAGGGTCCATAAGGATTTTAACATAATGAAATAAAGATGACTTAAAAACTTCACAAGGGTTTTAAACAGACATAGGACTTTGGAGTAACTTTCCTGAATACCAAGAATAGAGAATACTTGTGACTGACTGACCTGAAGATAGTACCAGATGTAAACGCACTGTGGGGACATCTGGACTCAGATGACTTTCATATTGATAGTTGAATGGATCTAAGGGAAATCATCAGAAAATCCTAGAGAAAATTCTCCCAGTCCACTTCCAAGGACAACTAACTGGTCTTCCTGTCAACTGTGGACTGGCCTGCAAGTGGAACTTTGTTTCCCAGAGGTCCTATCGATAATTCACCAGACTCATTGCCGGAAAAAGGAATAATTTTAAGTTCCATCTAACTAATGGTGTAGTAGCAAGTTGCACAGCATGTACCACATACCTATGCACATGCACATACACCTCATCTCTGAACTTAGCTTCACTTGACCCAAGCTCTAAGATTAAGCTAAAATATTATTTCAAAAAATATGTTCCCCAAGGTTCTCTATATAAATATTGAAACAGGCAAATGAAAATGAAGCCCAAAGTATTTTAATATATGTGAAAGTGCTTTTCTTTCCAAATAAATACCATTTGCTAAGGTATGGAAATACAAATGTGTCCTGAAAGTGACATTGTAGAGTTCTGTGTTTCAGATGAACCCAGACACTTTTAGACTTAAATTAAGCAGAAGTCATACCTACTAAGCAGGAAAGGGATTTTGACCCCTTGGTATTGAGGTACAGGTGGTTCTCCATCCTGAACTCAGTGTGGGCAGACTATGTCTCAGCTGCATCGCTGCTAAGTATGGATGCATTCCCATGCATGTATGGATTTCCAGTCTTCCTTTTAAAGGTGTTGACACAGCAGATGAGATTCAATGGGTAAATCCTAAAAATACAATTCAGAAATATCACTGTCCTGGAGGCCCGTCTATTCTAGTGTCTGACTGGGTATCTAGCCTCAATTTCAATGAAGTTCTTGGAGGGGACTGGCCCTTGATTATGGCTTTCATAAGCCTAGAAAAAGGAAAAAATAGAGTATATGGGACTATACCATGGAAGGGAGACAGCTTTGAGGCTGGTTAAGACCTGCTATGGAAAGAATGGAATAGTATCCTGGAGCTTCTCTTTCATGTCCAGAAGTTGCCAATGGTATGCTTAACTTCTTGGGAGTCCAGGAAGATCATTTCATAAGACTTGCTTTCACATTCTTCTCAGGCTAATGTCACTCCAGGGATCTCATAAAAAAAAAAAAAAAAAAAAAAAAACATTGCAACACTAGCAAAGGTACAGTCATGATATGAGGAAGAAGGAGAGGAAATGGGGAGAGATGTATAAAACCAGTATCTATTCTCTTGAAAGCTTATGAAATGCAGAAGTATTTATACACATGGACAAGAAGTCATGAGTTAAGATTAGTTTTACTGTTAGTTGTTTAGAATATTGAAGATAATCCTAGTGTGCTATGTAAGTCCAGGTTGGTCCGAACCCCTTCAAGTTTTATGATGTTTCTCTGCACACCAAGCTCTAACCCTCTTAACTCATTCATATGCATAAACAGAATAAAAAGAAAGCTTTCCCCTAAATTCCTAGCGTCATTACCTAGCATCACTACCTTCACTCAATGAAGACAAACCAAAACACCCATACCTTAGTTATTACACAATCCAGAGCTGGTATTTGCAACATTGTGCAAATAAACCAGGTACTCACTCCATCATGGGTTTCTGACTAATCAAATGATAAAGAATTAAATATGAAATCCTAGTTTTCTAAAGGATGAATCCCCTAATATCATAACAACTGCAAGACTGAAAAATAATGTGCTGCTAGACAAAGGATCTCATGTCCTTTGAAAAAGTCAGAAGAGCCTGCTGTAAGCACAGCTCAGCTCACATATGACAGGGAGTGGTGGCGAGCCACAGCACCAAGCTGGTACTCTAAGGGGTAGTATGTTCCTTGAATTAGAATGCATTGTGGTTTCTGTTGGAGTTAACATGTTTAGTGTGATGCTTTCCTAGAGGGAGTACCTTTGGTTATGCTTAATCTCAACTATAAAGTTAAGTACCTAGAAAGCTCAGTTCCCACATCCTTCTGAACCCTGACCCCAAGGATGTGAGCCCATGGGGAAGAAGAAAGAACTGAAAAAGTGCGCTCAGACTGAGAAAGGGGTCTCATCTGCAAGGCATGTGGTAGAAGGACAAGGGTGGCTCAGAACACATCCCTACACTCGATGGTTCAGCTTTTACATCTTAAAAAACAAGAGGGTTGAGTTGATCTTTGAAAATTTCATGTGGAATCATTTTAGAAACTTGAAAATGATGTTACGCATTTGCTTACATTTACCACTTTTAGAGCTATAATTTCAGGTAAAAGGATTTCTGAAATGAAAACATGTCAAGCAAACAATCTGGACCCTTCACTTTACGCATGAGGAACCGGAGGCATGTTCTCTCGGATCTTTGTGCCCTCCATACAACCTCTGTTCACCTTATGCAGAGGACCTAGCAGTCCTCAGAAATCTAATTTTGTTAGAAAGATCTCATTGATCCCCTGTTTCCCACTAGCCTGAGAGAATGCACCTACCATCTTGAGACCACCCGAATCCTGTTCATCCTGGAACCTTCTAAAGAATCATTTACCTGTGTATGACTTCTTTGTGTTGCCTGAATTGAGGGTTTTCTATTCTCTTTTCCCTTAAAGGTCTGTTGTAATTTTAGAGATTCTTTTCACATGGTTCTTCTTTTTTCATATAAAATCGGGCAAAATGAGAAATCTGAAGTCTGCTGTATGGTTTGCAATGCTGTCTTTTATCTAAAACAGCTCGCGACATTGTACTAAGTGAAGCCAAATATTCTGTACCATATGTTTATAGAGCTGATAATGGAGACTATCAACATTGGCGACAAATTTAAAAGGGCTCTTTAAAAATACTCATGAGCTCTTGCATGAAACTGATTTGCATAAGCAAACAGATATAATAAGCAAGGATAGCTTTCAGTTTTGTTAGCTTTGAACGCATTGCATTCTTAAGGTGTACCTTTAAATTTTACTCCGTGTAATGTGCTGAGTGCTCATGAAAGATCTTTTACGGTGGTTAGTCTATTTGTTTTCACTTTATTTTCTTTATAACCTGTTTCTCCTTTCCTGCCCGCCTGATGATTTTTGAATTGTTTGTCTGTATATAGCTATAGATATAGATGCTACTGGCTTAGATGCAGAAGAAAATGATATTCCAGCAAACCACCGCTCCCCTAAACCCAGTGCAAACAGTGTAACGTCACCCCACTCCAAAGAGAAAAGAATGCCCTTCTTTAAGAAGGTAACGCGGACTCCCCAGCTCCCGTTGTCCACCTGCTCAACTGCGCTGCGTCACATCTCTAGTCCTGTTGACTGTCTGCGTCCTTTGACAAGCCAATAACATGCATGCTCTGTTATTCTTTGTTTCTTTTCCATGCTGCTATAGCTAAGCAGAAGCAGAGATCGGTAAGTTGACATGACACATGCCATGTTTATCCTGCCTCTGGCATCATTAGCATCAGTTCCCACAGTTTTAGTAAGTACAGTCATCCCTGTCCTAAGAAAGCCCATCAACAGCTAATTGAGTCCATGCATTCAAGCCAACTAAATTCAGTGAGTGACCTGTGAAAACACCATTACAGTACTTATCCTTTTTGATGGAATACTATCTACCACCAAGGAATCTGTTGAAACATTCAGACTGTCCAACACTGACAACTCCATACAATGCACCTCAATTGTGCATGCTTATACTGTCTGTCTTTGTTTCTTTCTTTTTGCCAGATATTTAACTTTTAATCAAGCATATTAAAGCAGTTACTAGATTCTGATTTATGATATCCAGATACATAGCTTGTACTAAAAAAAGATTATTCAATTTTTAATTTAGTCAGTATTTAAACTTCTAATCCACTAGGTGCAAAATCTACAGATGAACAAGACCAGTGGAAAACTGCAGGCTTGTTTTGGCGGTTTACTGTGAGTTTTTCCTATTGTCATATATAAATACTCTCCCAATGTTCTTGCCTTCTTCATCAGTCAGATTTCAGCATCTCACCTGTTGGACAATGGGGCTGATGGCCTTATGTAGAGCCTTTGCCATTGGCCAACCAAGATGCTACACACTGATGGTGTACCCTGACTGGAAACTCCAGGGGGTTCCTGAGCCCTCTAGAGCAGACAACTTGTTTCCTCTCAGCATGTTTCACAACCTTGTAGCTCTATTTTTAAAGGACCCCCACACACAAACTTCCATGTTCCCCCCTCTCTGCCGTAACACATTCCACAGTGACTATGCTGATGTTTAGACTTACAGTTCCTATGTCACTGTGTCACCAGGTCCTGCACAACCGTGGGTATATTTTAATTCATATATACAAAGCAAAATCTATTCTGCTTAAGTTCAAAAATTAATTGTTAAAGTCTTCCCTCTGCAAATAACCAGTCTGCTCTCTGGAAGGTCATTTATAAATTGTCAGACGTTGAAGCATAAACTTTTTAAAAAATAAGTTTGCATTAAGAAGAGAATTCCAGGCAGCATTTTAGACACCTGGATTTTTGTGTTAACACAGAAAGCCCCAACTTGATGTCCTCCACAGCAGTGGGCCACCTCTCTGGGCAGATCTTGTTATAACAGCTGAAGCTCGCAGGCAGGTGACCGACGGTGTCCGCGATGCAGAAGTTTAGAAAGTCAGCACTGCTCAGCCACTCTGGACTTCACAGAACAGCATCGGTCAGACCAGTAGTCCAAGAGAGTGCCTTGCAGTTCACTAGCCTGTAAATGCCAAAAATTTAAGCATTTTCATCATAATTTTCCCTCTAAAAGAATTGACTCAAAACAAACTTAGCAGGAAAGGACAGAAAAAAACACTGTCATTAGTAATAGGGCCCAAAGTACCAATATTCCATCAAATAAGGTAATTTCTGTTGTTAGCCCTGTTGACGGAGAAGCTGATTGGTTAGCAGCATGACTGACCCTCTGCTAGCTGGCACTCACAGACTGAAGGAATCAAAACCTCTCCAGTACTGGGCCACTTGTTACTTAAAGACTTGAAATAAAATTTCTTAATAGCTGTTACTAAAATGCATGCAATTTATATTCCTATTACTAATGGTGGGAAAGGTATTTTTCTATTGCATAGACATAAGGACGTGGCTTCCAGATGTTTTCAATACAATCCCAGGTGGTATAAAGTGCAGCCTTTTAATAAATATGCTTATGATGCCTTCGGCACTGGTGATCATTCTTCTTATGTTCCTAATTCTGTGGTAAACAATGTAGAGTTCAGAGAAAGAAAGAGGCAGCCTGCGAGTCAAGTTGGCGCTAAGACTGTCTTCTGTGTCTTAGATTGCTTCTAGAACGCTGCTTGTCTGGCCTCTGTGCTGTCACTGTACTGTGTTTGTCTTGGTTATTTTTTAAAATTTCATTCAAAATGTATTTTGTCTTTATTGTGTCTACTGAAATTAAGTTTTGAGTGCTAGGGGAACTTTTAAGCAGTAAAAAGTGACAGCCCAGTCACAGAAATATTTTCCCATTTTGACTACATGGTCTACAACTGCTGGTGAAATCCCAGATGGAAGCTTTTGGATTTGATGTGCTTTTAAACAGTTCCCATGACCAACAGAAACCCATATAAAGCCAGGAAGTTTGTGACGTGCAATTTTAAGCAACAATTGTGCTTTTTATTGACAGGATGATACAAATATTACATTCACACTTCCATGTTAGTTTATCAGATTCCTAAAATAGTATAAAGAACATTTTTCTTCTGGTGCATGTGATGATCAAATTACATTTTTCAGATGCTCCTTAAGGGAGACAGTTCCTTACAGAGCACAGGAGTCAAAAGAGCAAAAGATTTGCTCATCCAGTGTCCAATGCTGTTCACTGCTATTCTTTTGCATTAAGAAAAGGTCATTTCTGGATCCTTTTATTATTGTCTGTTACCAAAAGAGGTAATTTTAATAGAAGCAAGCAAAGTATGTTATCTAAATTTTGAAATACTTTATTTGAAGCGATTAGGCTGAAAAATGGTGTTAGTCTTAGAAACTGCAGTAAAAATTTGCTTATTTCCTTATTTAAAAAAAAGGTTGCAGAAGGTACAAATTAGTTATGGACAGAATCCTACCTAAAGTTTATGTTTCAGAAGCACATTAGATATGCAAGTTTGTAATGAACACTTTGAGTCCATTGAAGCATTACACATTATTCACTTTCCTTCAAGACACATACACCTGAAACTTTATTAAATGCCAACATATAGAAATAAAAGATCCTAAAACATTAATTAGGAAGCTCTAACCAGTGATCGCAGTTCCTGTTTTTACAATAAGCACACATGACAGTTTCTACTCTTTCATAATTTAAATGGAATTCCAAGTATTTGGTGGTGAGAGTCACAGTGTTTGGAGATTAGGTTTTATGAAGGTAAGACAAACATCTAAGACGCAAAGGTAATAAGATCTTGCTCTCTTCCATAATTACCGTGATCCTCGCTGCTCTGATCCTTTCAACTCTTCAGAAAACTCAAATGCACCTGAACAGCAAAGCTGATTTCCAGTCAAGCTGGAAGTGCCTCTTCTACACGAGGCTTGCTTCTGCTTGCTCTCCCAACTACGTTTGTGTTCTGCTTTCAGAACTGATAGAGCAATAGCATTTCACGACAACAGCATGGAAACTACAGACCATTCAGTAACTCAAAGCCTTTAGGAGAATAAATCTACCGGCCTTTCATTGGACTTATTTAGAAAAGAGGCAATTATTTAAAAAAAAAAAATTAAATACCTGAAAATCCAGTGCCTTATAGATTAGATTTTAGGAAAGATGTATGCATAAAATATTTGAGTTCCCCTGCCTGTGAGAGGCCTGAATGCGTCTTCTTTCTCTGCAGACAGAGCACACGCCTCCTTATGATGTAGTACCGTCCATGCGACCGGTGGTCCTAGTGGGCCCTTCTCTGAAGGGGTACGAGGTGAGTAGCTGCCCTGTATAGCACACTTGGCCCTTTGCCTGCTGAGTGCATTATGACTATGCCTGCACTTCAGAGTCTTGAATTTGAATTTGAGCTCTTAGCAGCCAAACCTGTTGTTTCCAGGCTGTAGTGCATGGTAGTATATGTTGCTTAGTGTTTTGATTTCCTGGAGGTTGCCTTGGCAAGTCCTGCCAGCTACAACTTTCGATGTCCAGGAAACAGTATCAAATGGAGAATGACTGCAAGTCCTTGCGATGACCTGTAATGTCACTGAAACCGAAGTTCAGAGAAATTTTCTCTTTTTGTCATTTTGTTAGAGCTTAGAAACAGAAAATATGGTAACCTCACATTTTTAAGTGTTATTAAAAGAAGTAAAATTGGTTACCACGGTTAGTGACAACTTTATCCTAAGATTTTTATCATATGTTATTTTGTTACTGCTCAATTACAGGTCACAGACATGATGCAAAAAGCACTGTTCGATTTTTTAAAACACAGATTTGAAGGGCGGTAAGTACTGGCTTTGTGTGTTTTGTCTTGAGGATGGCTAAACCCTGTGGTGTGCTTACGTGAGCCCAAGAGGAAACAACTTCCTGATGTCTCTATGATAGGAAGTGAGTTTCATTCAGTTCAAGCAGATCAATATTTGTGTGGCACATCCTCATCCCAGGACCCTCTAGTTCCTACACCTGCACCTACCTACAAACTGAACTTGTCCCCACCTCTGCTGACCGGTCCACCCTCTATTCATGACCCACTGGCTCCTTAACATTGCCCAGATATAAGTACGCCCTCCCACTTGCTTTCCCACCACCTTGTTTTCTTTCTCCATAGACTTTTCACCATCTCTTCTCAAAGAACTTTCCCCCCAGTGAACTTGCATTCCTAATAGGCAAGCTGGCTTGTAGTCTTAAGAAAACAGGCAGGCTGGGTGTGTTGGCACATGCCTGTAAACCTAGCACTAGACTGAGGCAGTGCAAAGCCAGGCTAGGTCTCTTAGACAGATTCTGTCTGGGGAAGTCGAGGCCAGTAGCTCCCCACACGTGCGCTCATCTCCACTTCCTGTTTGCCTGAACGGTCTACATTTCCCCTTCACATGGTGTCTTCAGCAATGGCAAACACTTCACAACTACCTGGGCCCAGAGTCCCATTCCTCATTTCTGTCCTACTCAAACTACCCAGGCACGCATCTCACCATCCTTCCCCTCTCTTCATGGACATTTATTTCCCGTTTAATGGAAGATAAAGTCATTTCTCCTCACACTTGAGCCAACACTCCCTTCCAGCCATCTCACCTTTCTCCTTTTCTTTATAGCAAACTCACTGAGTTCTACACACTGTCCTTGTTCTCTCCTGTTCGTTCACATCTACTTGAGTTACACTTTCCTTGCTACTGAATTCCTTGAGTGTTCCAGACAGCAGGATCCAAGTCCCTCTGGTAGGAACACTTTTCTCTCACATATTCTCCTGGTAATTCGTGTGCATGTGTGAGCTCACTCCTTCCTCTGATTTTTTCGTCATCTTTTTTGTACGACTTTTCTGTTTTCATTCTCCAATAACTAGGGCACGGTTTTTCAATGTTTTGTGAGATCTGGGCTCCTACTAGTCAGTATGAACAATGAACAGTTTGGGGCCAAGTCACTGCTGAACATTCTTTGCTAGAGAAATGCAGACATGTTAGAACCACTGTCTACCTCTGATCCTTTCAACTCTTCAGAAAACTCAAATGCACCTGAACAGCAAAGCTGATTTCCAGTCAAGCTGGAAGTGCCTCTTCTACACGAGGCTTGCTTCTGCTTGCTCTCCCAACTACGTTTGTGTTCTGCTTTCAGAACTGATAGAGCAATAGCATTTCACGACAACAGCATGGAAACTACAGACCATTCAGTAACTCAAAGCCTTTAGGAGAATAAATCTACCGGCCTTTCATTGGACTTATTTAGAAAAGAGGCAATTATTTAAAAAAAAAAAATTAAATACCTGAAAATCCAGTGCCTTATAGATTAGATTTTAGGAAAGATGTATGCATAAAATATTTGAGTTCCCCTGCCTGTGAGAGGCCTGAATGCGTCTTCTTTCTCTGCAGACAGAGCACACGCCTCCTTATGATGTAGTACCGTCCATGCGACCGGTGGTCCTAGTGGGCCCTTCTCTGAAGGGGTACGAGGTGAGTAGCTGCCCTGTATAGCACACTTGGCCCTTTGCCTGCTGAGTGCATTATGACTATGCCTGCACTTCAGAGTCTTGAATTTGAATTTGAGCTCTTAGCAGCCAAACCTGTTGTTTCCAGGCTGTAGTGCATGGTAGTATATGTTGCTTAGTGTTTTGATTTCCTGGAGGTTGCCTTGGCAAGTCCTGCCAGCTACAACTTTCGATGTCCAGGAAACAGTATCAAATGGAGAATGACTGCAAGTCCTTGCGATGACCTGTAATGTCACTGAAACCGAAGTTCAGAGAAATTTTCTCTTTTTGTCATTTTGTTAGAGCTTAGAAACAGAAAATATGGTAACCTCACATTTTTAAGTGTTATTAAAAGAAGTAAAATTGGTTACCACGGTTAGTGACAACTTTATCCTAAGATTTTTATCATATGTTATTTTGTTACTGCTCAATTACAGGTCACAGACATGATGCAAAAAGCACTGTTCGATTTTTTAAAACACAGATTTGAAGGGCGGTAAGTACTGGCTTTGTGTGTTTTGTCTTGAGGATGGCTAAACCCTGTGGTGTGCTTACGTGAGCCCAAGAGGAAACAACTTCCTGATGTCTCTATGATAGGAAGTGAGTTTCATTCAGTTCAAGCAGATCAATATTTGTGTGGCACATCCTCATCCCAGGACCCTCTAGTTCCTACACCTGCACCTACCTACAAACTGAACTTGTCCCCACCTCTGCTGACCGGTCCACCCTCTATTCATGACCCACTGGCTCCTTAACATTGCCCAGATATAAGTACGCCCTCCCACTTGCTTTCCCACCACCTTGTTTTCTTTCTCCATAGACTTTTCACCATCTCTTCTCAAAGAACTTTCCCCCCAGTGAACTTGCATTCCTAATAGGCAAGCTGGCTTGTAGTCTTAAGAAAACAGGCAGGCTGGGTGTGTTGGCACATGCCTGTAAACCTAGCACTAGACTGAGGCAGTGCAAAGCCAGGCTAGGTCTCTTAGACAGATTCTGTCTGGGGAAGTCGAGGCCAGTAGCTCCCCACACGTGCGCTCATCTCCACTTCCTGTTTGCCTGAACGGTCTACATTTCCCCTTCACATGGTGTCTTCAGCAATGGCAAACACTTCACAACTACCTGGGCCCAGAGTCCCATTCCTCATTTCTGTCCTACTCAAACTACCCAGGCACGCATCTCACCATCCTTCCCCTCTCTTCATGGACATTTATTTCCCGTTTAATGGAAGATAAAGTCATTTCTCCTCACACTTGAGCCAACACTCCCTTCCAGCCATCTCACCTTTCTCCTTTTCTTTATAGCAAACTCACTGAGTTCTACACACTGTCCTTGTTCTCTCCTGTTCGTTCACATCTACTTGAGTTACACTTTCCTTGCTACTGAATTCCTTGAGTGTTCCAGACAGCAGGATCCAAGTCCCTCTGGTAGGAACACTTTTCTCTCACATATTCTCCTGGTAATTCGTGTGCATGTGTGAGCTCACTCCTTCCTCTGATTTTTTCGTCATCTTTTTTGTACGACTTTTCTGTTTTCATTCTCCAATAACTAGGGCACGGTTTTTCAATGTTTTGTGAGATCTGGGCTCCTACTAGTCAGTATGAACAATGAACAGTTTGGGGCCAAGTCACTGCTGAACATTCTTTGCTAGAGAAATGCAGACATGTTAGAACCACTGTCTACACCTATGAAGAGCTCATATGTAAATCTTAAGTTGAAACTTATTTAGGCTGGGCGGGTGCACGCCTTTAATCCCAGAACTTGGGGGGCAGAGGCAGGTGAATCTCTGTGAGTTCCAGGCCAGCTGTGGCTACATAGTGAGATCCTGGCTCAAAAGGACAAAAAAAAAAAAAAAAAAAAAAAAAAAAAAAAAAAAAAAACAAGGAAAGCCTGGTTTATTAAACTAGAATACAAATGAAAGAGTATCTCAGCAGGTGTGTATGCACGCCATGCAGGTAGCATAGAGAGGAGCAGAAACACGGATTTAGGGATGTTCCCAGCTGGTAACGGATTTTAACTGGCACTAAGACCTCACTAACTGAATCAGGAGGAGGAAGAGGAGGGCATGACCAGTAATGGGCATAAAGTGAATGAAGACATCAAGGTATAACATAGCATGCTGTGGAAGGCCAGCCAACTAGAAAATTCCAAGAACCTTTACTGGGAATTATTGCTAATAGCCAGCAGCCAGATCTAGAAAGTCCTGCCAATGGCTTTCTCAATCCTTTCCCTCCCGCCTCAACTTAAAGATAGGGACTCTGGTTTCATGAAGGGTGAAGGTCAACAAAATGGTCCAAGTCTTCTGGAAAAGTGAGGAAGTGGATGAAAAAGAGCACAATTTTGTGTAGGGAGTGATAGGAACCAGTGGGTTATAAACTGAGGATGGGACGAAGGGTCTCCAGGGGAGGCCAAGTTCAGCATGTGGACACTGTACAGGAACTACAGGATCCCAGTCTAGGGTACACCACACAAACATGACTTAGAGCTGCTGATTCAGACTGAACTGAATAAAACCTATCTCCTGTCATCATAGAGATGCAAGAAAGCAAGTATATCCCTTGAAAGGCAGATTTGTATCAAAGAATCCATGGGTAGCACCACAAACACGAGGCCTACTCCTAACATGTCAAAGACATGATAGGACTCCAGAATGTAAAACCTGAAGATTTCGACTAAGCCTAGATTATAGGGAGCTGGGAAGCCAGGGCTAGTGTAAATGTCTGTATTTCCAACACGACAAATCTGTTCACTCACCACACTGTTCTTTCTCTGTGCTAAGAATATAAGTTGATAGCATCTGTAAGTCTCAGTGTTCTTTCAGATTTCTAATATAGTGTTTTACAGACCATACCTATCCCTAATTCATGCAATCATTTCTGACTTATATTGACTTCTGACACAGGTAGGGAAGGAAACTTTCACAGCAAAACTAATATGTAAAGTGATCCAGCAAAAGACTGAAAGGATTAGAAAGAGGGAAAGAGAAGGTATGTTTCAAGATACAAAAGACTTTATATTAAAGATCTACCTAACCAATGTTCCTAATTAGATTATTTTGTTTCATAACTTTATAATTTTTTTTAGTTTATACCAGGAAATATAGCCTTTGGCTAAAGATTATTAGGTACTTTCCAAATATAAAAGACATGCTTTGAACTTGCCCAACTTAACTTTTCTTTGTTCCTGGCTTTGTCATTTATCACAATCTGGAACTGTCTGCATAACCCCCAACTTCTGCTGCAATGAGTGAATGAGCCCACTGTCCTCTTCTAAATGGAGACAGGCAGACAGGGTGAACTTCCTGGCTTAGTACTTCTGTCCAACCCTGAGAACCTTCTGAATCCAGATGAGATTCCTGCACAAGTATCTCAGATCCATGAGTTATGGTATCAGCCATCCAATCTGATTTCATTTAGGAAGCAAATAAAATATCTGAATGTTGGGTCAATCTACAGTTTTCAGACCAAAGTAATCTCCATGTAGATCATTGATGGGCCAGCCTCAATCCACCTTGAGTAGGGAGTTGCAGTTCAACATTCTAGGCCTGTGACTACAAATTAAAGGTTCCCAAAGAAAGTAAGAGCCCATAAAGTAGAATTTCAAAAGATGTAAAAGTTTAACCTTTACCCCTGGCCACATATCCAGAGTAACTGTCTCATTAAATGTTTATGCTGTTGGCAAAGCAAGACAGAATGTGTGAATACCAGACAGTCTAAAAGAGAACTGAGTAACTCCTCAAAGAAATCTACTGACTACATTTTATTTTAAAAAATGGGAAGCCTGTGGGGAGAAAGTATGACAGAAGCCAGCGACAAAGCCACAGGTTCTAAGCAATCAGGGATTTTGCTCTGAAGTCCTCCCAGGTCAAGTCAGCTGTGGGAACTCTGCAGCAGTCAGAATCACTGGGTTTGAAGTAGTCTAAGTATGGCAGGTCAAAGCAGAGCTGGTAAGCCATCCTCTTCATTCTGTTGTGTGGAGGAGCAGCCCTGGTAAAACTGGATCTATTGTAACCAACTGTGTCATGTTCTCAAAGCAATCTTCATAGCCTTGAGGACCATAATGGGCGAGTTAACAAGGAATCGGCGAGGAAGGAAAGCCACCACCTGGGTTCAGTCGGCTTTCTTCCCCAGTGACTTTCAGATGTTAGCTGTCAGCACTGAAATGTTTGGAGTTGCTTCAGGGACATTGTACACTATTGCCAGAATGTTCTATGAGGGAGCCTTATTAGAAATCAATAATCCTGGGAAACATTACATTAGTTTATTTTCTGGTGTAAGGAACTTACGTAGATGTGAGAAAATTATTTCAAAACTATTGGTTTCCTACTAAGATGTGAGAAAATGCAAAACTATTGGTTTCCTACCTTGGTTGCACAATTACCTGAAGCATACCTGGGGGGAGAGCTAGACCTGGTGGCAAACGCCAGACCTGGTAGCAAACAGCTGTAATTCCAGCACTCAAGCTGTGGTAAGAAGATCTCAAGTTTGATGACAGCTTAGTTTACAGAGAGATCACATGACAAAACAACAAAACAAGAAAAGAACAAACTGCACAGGAGTCTGTATCCTAGCTTGACTAGGAACAAATCAGTAGGGCATAATATGGGCATCTGTATCATTAAAAGCTTATATGGTGGTTTAGATGAACTGTGAGGGTTGAGGAACTACTATTATAAACTTAATCATCCCCAGGAATTTTGCCCTTAGTTTTTTGTTTGTTTGTTTGTTTGTTTTGTCTTTTTGAAGCAGGGTCTCTCTGTAGCCCCCCCTCCCCCAGCTGTCCTGGAACTCACTATGTAGACCAGGCTGGCCTTGAAATAAAGGAGATCGCCTGATTCTGCTTCCCAAGTGCTGGGACTACAGGCGTGCGCCTGGCTTGCCCTTAGATCTTTAATGATTTGCCCGCAGAACCCAAGTAATGAGAGTTGTATAGCCATCAAGCTAACCACAGCAGGTCAATGGAAGCTGTCAGTGCTGTATCCCCAAGATGGCTCTATCCCAGGGCAGCTGCCTCCCCAGTGAGTGACAAGAGCTCAGTGGAGGCTCCTAACTAGACTTCTGGTCGTCAGCATTGCTTGGGCCCTACTCACTGTAATGCTAAAATACTTAGGCACCCTGCTCTTCCCTTTGCCTGGAGCCACCTTCCCACGACATCCACATGACTCCTGTCCTCCCTTCCTTGTCTGATACACGCCACCTTAACTGAGAGGTCATTTCTGAACACTCTAGTGAACTACTCTGTGTTTACGAAAAGGGGAAAGGGGCGTACAGTAACGAACTGGAAGGCCTGTACTCATTGGTGGAACTTTTGATCTCATGTTTCCCTGTAAGACATTCTTGCTAGGTATTTTGCATAGGAAACTCTGATATATGTTATCGTTTACTCTTCAGCATTTTGTGGTTTCTTCAGAGAAGGACCTTCCTATCTGACACCCAGAGTGACTAAATATAGGCTAAGTTTCCAGAATACTAAGATGGTGATGAAGGATGAGGCTCAGCATCCAAAACACTGCTTTTTTTATTTACTCGAATATTCCCAGTCCTTTCTCTGCCTGCTGTCCCCTAGAGGAGGGCCTTCTGTTTTACTGCCTATAGATAATATGTCTGTGGTCTTATAGAAAGAGAACTCTCACCTGGCCGCTTGATGTGTGGAGGACTCTGACTTTACAACAGACTTTTAAGCTAAGCCTCTTGTTTTTAGTCTAAACTTCACTTTCTAAGAGGTATTCTAAGCCTTTAATTTTCTTTCACAGCCTTTTCTACTGTCTGTTTGGATATTCCCTGAAAATTCAGCTTTCCCTAGTATAAGCTGTTTACTATTTTCATCTTTCATATCTAACTGCTTTCATTTCTTCCCCATATGAAACCCTCTCAATTCATGACCACTGCCACAGTAGCCCATTAACATCACAGTTAACGTACTCCGTCACCATTTGGGTTTGTCCTTCTTCATCTGTCCCTAGACTGTTTTCTGTGGGAAGGCTGGTTTGCCCGCTTCTTATTCCTCATGCCTGACACACGCCGTATGAGGGTACAGGGATACGAATACAGGCTCACGAGTCTGAGTTCAAATTATTTTAAAAGAGTATTTTTGTTTATTATCAACATAAAGTTTTAGATAAGCCTGCTTGTAGCTTATTTTTTCATCATTAAATGTACAATAACCATTTTTTCAAGTTTGGGGGACAATTTAATCAGACTTGGTAAGCAACCAATGCTAGGCAAGGCGAGTGCATAATAATAAACTACATGACCTAACATGTCTAGTTTGAAATATATGTGTATGTATATAGGTATGTATATACATATATATATCCACATGAACATTGGCATATATACACCTATGCCTATGTGTATGTGCATATTTAAATCTCAGTCTTTCTATGCCCTTGTTCGATTAAAATCTCAGGGTTTACTGTTATTTTTTCTCCAACAGGATATCCATCACAAGGGTCACTGCTGACATCTCCCTTGCCAAGCGCTCGGTATTAAACAACCCCAGTAAGCATGCAATAATAGAAAGATCAAACACAAGGTCAAGCTTAGGTAAGTCTGTAAATACTGATGAGCTTACGTTATTTAAACATTCCTCACCTAATAACAATGAGCAGACCTACCCAGAGGACAACCCCAGGAACCATACAGAAAAATCAAACGTCAGAAGTCTGTCATGATTTCATAGTGTGGAGGGATTATTACAGTAGCTTCAAGTTAAAGCATTCTCCATGCTGTCAGCATTGATGATTTGTTGTGGTTTGTGTGTTTGTGCACTGAATACTACATCCATGATGAAATCATATGCAAAACAGTGTGATTTGCATGCTGAGACTAATAATGGATGGAATCAGTTCCTGTCCTTCCCTGGGGCTCATCAATATTCATTTACTTGTAAAAGCAGTGTAGGAATTTTGGTTGATGTTTATGGGGAGGAAACTGGAAATTGCACATCAGCACATAGTAAAGTGTGAAGAAATAGCCCTTTCCAAAGGATTCACCAGTTATGTTGACTGTAACCATTAAAATAGTGACAGACCTGCTGTCATTCCTACTGAAGAAACAGTGTACGATACTCCACCTTAACAGAGTCTAAAAGTATGTCCTTTAAATAAACAAACTCTGTTTAACCTGTTACAGCGGAAGTTCAGAGCGAAATCGAAAGGATTTTTGAACTTGCAAGAACACTGCAGTTGGTCGTCCTTGATGCTGATACAATTAATCATCCAGCTCAACTCAGTAAGACCTCTTTGGCCCCTATTATAGTGTATGTAAAGATCTCTTCTCCTAAGGTGAGCAGGGTGAGCACTGTTTGCTCTGTATTTGGACATGTAATGTGTTTAATGTTCTGATTTCCAGGCATCATAGGATATGCCTTTATCATGGATGCAGGGAGTTTGAAAAAACATCAATTAGTCAAATAATTTTTAAATGTTATTTCTTTTTATTTTATGTGTATGGGTGTTTTACCTCCATACATGTAAGTGCACCCAAGCATGCAGTGCCCATGGAGGCCAAAAGACGGTGTTGGATCCCCTGGAACTGGAGTTACGGGCAGTTGTTAGCCATCGTGTGGGTGCTAAGAACTGAATCCGGGTCCTCTAGAAGAGCAGCCAGTGCTCTTAACCACTGAGCCATCTCCAGCCTCATAGTCAAGTAGTTTTTAGGATCAATATGAGCAAAGCATAGTTAATGTTATAGCTAAAAATTGCCAGGTGTGTTGGCACACGCCTTTAATCCCAGCACTCGGGAGGCAGGACAGCTGGGGCTACAGGGAGACCCTGTCTCAAAAAGACCAAAAAAAAAAAAAAAAGTGTCTATGATACAAGATACTTGCTTTTATCACTTTTGACATTTGCATCCAAGGTGGTAACACTGTTGGCATCTGGGCATGACCACAGAGTGGAGCAGTGAGTGCTGTCATCCCTACAGTCAAACAGCTCAAGAGCCACTTCGCCTAAAAATGCTATGATTCTGTAGTAAAAAAAACAACAAAAAAAAACTCTTTAAAAAGTGCAATCCTTTTCAACATTTTGTGTAATGAAATAAAAATATTTTAAAATGAAAATCTTTTTATAACTGCATTCAATTTTATGTCTTATAGGGTTTATACTGAGTACAATATTGTATAACTGTAATAATTCAACTGTAAACCTAAAAATTTACAGCCAATTTTGAAAGAGATGCATCTTTGCTCTGAAAATTGTTATTGAATACGTCAATGCTGTTGTAATGGAATGCTTCTACTAATTATGTGGTTATTAAATAATTTTTTAAAAGATGATACAAAAAAAAAGTATTCTTAAAGCCCAGTTAGTGCGCTAAAGTAAGCTGTCTCAAGCCAAGCACTGGTCTGACTGAGCCGTGAGCTGAACCAGCTGGTGTTCTCAGTATACCATTTCTTTTTTTTTTTTAACTTTTTAAAATTTATTATTTTTATTTTATGTGTATGCATGTAGGTAAGTGCACCCGTGTCATGCAATGCCCATGGAGATCAGAAGAGGCTGTTGGATCACCTGGGACTGAAGTTACAGACAGTTGTTAGCTGCCACGTGGGTGCTGGGATTCGAACTGCAGTCTTCTGCAAGAACAGCCAGTGTCCTTAACTGCTGAGCCATCTCTCCAGCCCCCAGTATACCATTTCTATATCAAAGAACTACTGATTGCCTACACATAGCCAGACGAGTATTTATCAGATCTCTTTTTAAGAAAAATGAGCCAGACACTTCAAAGAGAATTGCTTGTTGCCAATAATAATATTACTAACTAGCATATTTGAACACTATAAAATGAAATATGTAAACATATGGAAGATGTGAAGAATTTAGTGAACGACATTATACATAATGCATGTAAAGATCCATTCAATTTCAACACGGACTTTTCTTACTCTCCTATCTTGCTGAATGTTAGTGTGGTATCAAAAAGGCTGTCACAACTACCTGAAGAGGGACAACTAGTGTATCCCCTTTCTTAACTATATATGCTAATTATGTAACAGGCCTTCTTTGCATATTTCAACAAAACATACAATTTTCCTCTATGAAAACAACATAGTAGAGATTTATAAAATGTGACTCATTAACATGTATATAATTTTATTATTATTATTTTGTCTTTTTGAGACAGGGTCTCCCTGTAGCGCCAGCTGTCCTGGAACTCACTATGTAGACCAGGCAGGCTGGCCTTGAACTCACAGAGATCCACCTGCCTCTGCCCCCTGAGTGCTGGGATTAAAGGCATGCAGCACCACGCCTGGCTCATTTATTATTTTTAAGTGAATTAGTAGTGGCCCTTTGGGATTCATGTGTTTTAAAACTTAAATAGGTCACAAAGCAGAAAGAATTGGGAACTGTTAAGCTAGGAAAAAAAAAAAAGACTCAGAATACGCTTTATACTAGTGCTTAAGGCTTGCCAGAGATTTATGTGAGCATGTTAATTTTGTGGATAATCTTCTGTTGTATTTTATATCTCAATGACATGTGCTGTTTATCTGGGTGGAGGGCCCTGTAAAGCAGTCAGTGATGCGCCTTGTAGCTTACCTGTGTGCAGATATTCCTATTAAAGCACTCTTACCTTTCTCAGGTTTTACAAAGATTAATAAAATCTCGAGGGAAATCTCAAGCTAAACACCTCAATGTCCAGATGGTAGCAGCTGATAAACTGGCTCAGTGTCCTCCGGTAAGTTCTCCATTCAGTGGGATTCAGCTGCAGGGATCAGACGTGGCATTTTAAGAAACCACAGTTACATACCTAAAGGAAGAGACTTCTCACTTCAAGTGGTATTCGGTCCAAAGAAGCAACTTATGCCACTAGCTTATATGACCATGTGTAGACCAAGTAACAATCACACGCTTTCAAAACGACTTGTGGACCCTGTGCTTGCCCCACCGTATCCAACACAAGATTGTGGCTTGGAAGATGGATCTCTTTGGAGTGGGGGGTCTTACTCACTTTTAACCATAGGGAACAAGTAGTCTCTTAACAATTGTCTGAGAAATTACCTTGTAAGCATGTAAAGCTAAATGTTTCTGTGAATGCAGGCATGAACGTATGAGCCATGTGGCGATCAGACGACAACACTGGTGTTAGTACTCACCTTAAGACAGGTCTCAGGTAGTCAGCCGCTGAGCACACCAGGCTAGCTGGCCTGTGAGCTTCCAGGGATTCTCCCATCTCTGTGTCCCGTGTGCCCACAGGACCTCCAGCAATATGGAGGCTCGTGCTATGCATCTGGCTTTTCCATGGGTGCTGAGAGTTCAAACTCAGGTCTTTGCTGCACAGAGCACACTTTTACCCACTTGGCCATCTCCTCAGCCCCCAACTTATTTTTGTACTGCTTTTGAGATAGGGTTCTAGGCCCTGGCTGGCCTAGAACTAGATATGCACACCAGGCTAGCCTCAAACCGAGAGACCAACCTGCTCCAGCTGGGATTAAAGGCATGTGCCGCCACACCCATGAAAACTACATTTTAAAAGTTATTACCCAGATCTTTACTTCAGAAGCACATCCCTACTATGAATACATGCTTTACATATACCTTGAGACTATAGGTCCCATCAAGTACAGCTATTTCAGAGGCTGTTATAGAAGTTATATGAATTTGGAGTTTGATTGCTTTAAAGTATGTTAAAAAAAAATTTTTTTTTGAGACAGCATGTCCCTGTAGCCACATCTGGCCTGGTCCTTGCTGTGTACACCAGCTTGGCCTCTCACAAAGATCCACCTGCTTCTGCCTCCCAAGTGCTGGGATAAGAGGTGTGTACCACCATGCTTGGCCCAAAAATATGTTGGATTTCTTGATCAACATTTTAAAAATGAAGCACCCCTTCACCCCATGAACTGCCAAGGTTGGATCATGTCAAAATGACAATGGTTTTAGCTACTTCTGCCAAATACCATGACCCCATTAACTTCTAAAAATGCTCTGCAATCACTAGGGCAAGAACAGGCATCAAGCTTTTGCACATGTGTTTCTACTGTGGTATTGATCTGTTTTTCACTACTGATAAACAACTGCCCTGTCCTGCCATCTCTTACCAACCGTACCAGCACCTGTCACTTCTGGGCCATTAATTAAGCATTCAGTGTTCTAATTAAGAACTTGAAGTGGACACACAAGCTAAGAGAGCCAACAGAGAAAGGAAAACAGGGCACGTAGCAAGAACAAATGCCTAGGGATGGAGAGAAGTAGGGTCTCCTCTGCATATGGATTTGGGGAGGAGAAAGGGGAACTTAGGGTTGTTGGAAAGTGTACTATCTGAAATGCTTGTTTCAGCAGGAGTCATTTGATGTGATCTTGGATGAGAACCAGCTTGAGGATGCTTGTGAGCACCTTGCGGACTACCTGGAGGCTTACTGGAAGGCCACCCACCCTCCCAGCAGCAGCCTCCCCAACCCTCTCCTTAGCCGAACTTTAGCCACTTCAACTCTGCCTATTAGCCCCACCTTAGCCTCTAATTCACAGGTAAGAGGGCTTCCTTTTATGGTCTTCATAGAGAATCTAGACTGCTGACAGAGATGCCCGTGGGACTGGGCCTCGCTAGGTAACAGCATACTTGCTCACCAAATAAGAGAAACTCGTAAGTCGCCTAACCGAGTTTGAGTGATGTGCCTATAAGCAAAACACTATAAATAGTATACTACAGATTTCATTCACTGCACAGTCACAAAGATGGGAGACTTCTTGGGACTCCAAAACCCTGGCTCTGCCTCTTGCTGTGTGTACAACCTCAGCAAGTCCTTTGACTGCTCTTGGCTCAGAAGCCATGATGGTGAGCTATCTCGAGACTGTTATAATTACTTGACTCAGAAGAGTCAGCACTTAGCCCAGTATAGTGCCACATGCCTATAATCCCAGCTATTTGAGAGGCTGAGGCAAGAGGATGAAAAGTTTGAGGCCAACCTGGGTAACTTGCGGACACTGTGTCTCAAAAGATCTGTGATGGCCCTAGAACAGTGTGTCTCATATAAATATCATTTAAGCATTTTGGGATTTTGTATCTTGATTGTGCTAATTAGTTTTAATCTACTCAAGCAGTCACAGTTAAAAGTGTAATATCAGACGCCCATGTTTGTGCTTGACTAACAAGACCATATACCCGACGAAGAACATCTTCCCTCCTCGAATGAACTGCCAGATGCACACAGGTTCACTTTAATCCGGGCCAGCATGTTTCAGAGGGAGGAGTACCTGAGCTGGGCTGAGCTTCATTTCAGCATTTAATACTTGCAAGGAGTGTACCTGCACGGTGCTGCCCTTACACCTTAGCTCCTTCTGACCTTAGTTGATGCCCAATGTGTGTGCCTTTGCTCCAGGGTTCCCAAGCTGAACAGAGAACTGATCGTTCTGCTCCTGCCCGGTCTACTTCCCAAGCTGAAGAACAGCCTTGTCTAGAACCAGTCAAGAAATCCCAACACCGTTCATCCTCCTCAGCCACACACCATAACCACCGCAGTGGGACGAGTCGAGGCCTCTCCAGGCAAGAGACATTTGACTCTGAAACCCAAGAAAGCCGAGACTCTGCCTATGTGGAGCCAAAAGAGGATTATTCCCATGAACATGTGGACCACTATGCCCCACACCGTGACCACAACCACAGAGATGAGACCCATGGCAGCAGTGACCACAGACACAGGGAACCTCGTCACCGCTCAAGGGACATGGATCGAGAGCAGGATCACAATGAGTGCAATAAACAACGGAGTCGGCACAAATCCAAGGATCGCTACTGTGACAAGGATGGAGAAGCACTATCCAAAAAAAGGAGCGAGGCTGGGGAGTGGAATAGGGACGTTTATATCCGCCAGTGACCCCGAGTGTCCCTGTCCCAGGTCCTGCATTACATCACCCTTGAGCAAAAATCTTTTGGGTCTGCATTGCAGTCAGAGTAACCTTTCTTGTATTTCTGGCTTGCTGTTGCTTGGATGGTGATAGCACGGAATAGAGTATTAATACGCATTCTTTCGTAAGTGCTAGAGAAACTGGCCTGGTACGGCTGCAGTCCTGTCTTCGTACTGGACTCTTCGAGAACCATCTGGGGTAGCTGCCACCTGAACAAAGTGGCTTAAGAAATGTAGTTAATGTGTCCAGCAAGCCAGACGCAGCACAGATAACAAGTGGGATTTCTTTTTCCTCCACATTTTTAATGCCCAGACACCTGACTGACATATTCATTCATTCATGGACCACAGTTTCTTGCTTGTACCTCTGGCTGACTAAATTTGGGGACAGATTCAGTCTTGCCTTACACAAAGGGGATCATAAAGTTAGAATCTATTTTCTATGTACTAGTACTGTGTACTGTATAGATAGTTTGTAAATGTTATTTCTGCAAACACCTTATATATACATATATATACATATATATATGTATGTATGTTTGATCACACTATTTTAGGGTCTTAATGCCAAGTCAGCAGATCTGCTTTACGAATCACAGGGACTAGAAATGCCCACATTCAGGAACTTTGTACTAACATTGTCTAGACACCTATCCTCATTCTATAGAGAGCCTGTACATACTGTAAATATGTGTGACTGCTTGACTTGAGGTTTGATTTCTGAATGTTATGCCATCCTTGTAAGTTTATAATTTTAACCATAAATTATGGAAATATAACCAAACTCCAGAGATTGTTCTACTCCATAAAGTCCACACTGATGGTGACAAACACGTTCTTTGCAGCTAGTGTCTGTTATAGTCACTGCACTGGACTATCGAAGCCGAACCTGCCGTGTGCGCATGCGTGTGTGTCTGTAAGTGTGTGAGTGATGGAAGTGAAGCGCGATGCTGAGGACGAATGCAGAAACTAGAGGCTGATGCTGAGATTTCTGCCCCCGCCACCCCGGGCTTTGTATTTAATTGTGCTGTGTGTTGCTTTAATAACCCATTGAGCAGCCAGGGAATGTGAGGAAGCTTGCTGCCAAAGGTAACTAGGAAAGCATTCATCTGCTGGCTCCTTGTGTTGGCTCCTCGAGAGTGAAAACACAGGCATCTTGTACTGTGAGTGTTTCACTGGAAATGTACAATCTTTGTGTGTTAGAGTATTTGTTTTAGTAAGAAACGTTTACACAGCTTGTGGAACTATTTCATAGGAAAATAAATTTTTGTAACTTCTCCCAGTTCATTTTCTAAGCCCACCGATCGCTCGTGTTGACCTCCCAGTTACCCACCCTTCCTCCTCTGCCATCTCAGCAGTTTCACTGTCAGAACTCACAAGTGCTTCTTAGAAACAAAATTTCTGCTCTTCAGAAGATACCAGGGCAAAATGGGATGACTTGACGTGAAAAAACATTAAAGACATTTTCCTATGTGAGACATCTGAAGGGTTGCCTAAAAGACACTCTCTCCAGGCCTCAGTTTCCCACTGTACGAAGCCACGATGCTATTACACTAAGGCTCTATGTCTCCCAAGTATCCAGTGCTGACTGCTAGGTAAGACTTATACAAGTCCCTAGCATTTGAAGTTTTTCCCAGGAAAATGCCTATCTGAAATTGCCTAAGCAGATCTGAAGGTCACCGAAATAAGTTCTATAAAAATCTGTGTATTGCTTTGATTCCTGGTTATTCCAGGTTCTTCCAATTTTACATTTAAGTATTTACCCTATACCGAAGAAAACTAATGCATTTCGTTATTTTATGAAAAATTCCTCTTAGAATCAGTTAGCTCTACACTATATGTAGAATTGATTTACAGAATATGCAATTGTATGAATTTCTGACCCAAATTTCTCACATCATTGTGAAACCAAATTGTTTTCATAAAATATTTGTTAAATTTTCTTCACAGAAAGATAGTGTACACTACCCTAATCCTTTCCTAAATGTCATTTCATCCCAGTCATTAACTCTGAGATACTTAGTCTTGAGAGATAAATGGCAGAAATACTTGCAGTTATCACTAGCCCCTTTCAAAGGACAGTTCTAATGCCTTCCATCAGCTCAATTTTGCCCCCCATCTTAGGTCATCACTTTACTGTGAAATATATTAGTGCAAATCAAAGTATTCCTCAACTCTGCAGAATAATCTGATGTAAAGGCATCTGAGTGTGAAAGCTTTAAGTGGGTACCTGTGTCAACAGTGTGTAGTCAATCGATAAATGAAGAAATAACCCCAAGATTGGTGGGATATTTACTGACTTGTGGAATGTAAGATCAGTCTTTTTCACACAGCAAATGCTTAATCCTAACCTACTCAGTGGTAGAATTGTGACTTTTTTCCTGTAGTCAACCTAGGAAATGCTGGAAATGTACTCAATAGTGTTAATTTCCTTGTCAGTCATTTCGGTCTTTCCTGTGCTTCCTTTACTGCTCATTTAAGTTACTGTTACAAAAAAGGTGCTGCTAATGTAGGATGTCTTAGGCACACTGTCCTTTGGGACAATGCCACATTTTAACGTGGTCTGCTCTGCGTTCCTGTTATACATTCACTGTCAGCTACACTGAACTGTTTATCCAACCTGGTTTAAAGTCATTCATTGAAAGAAATAAAGAGCTGGCTTCTGCACTGTTCGCTAGTGGTATTAATTGCCATTTTAGGAATGATTTTTGTAGTTGAGAATATGTTACAGACCCAACAGTCACCACATGGAGTATCTTCCTTAGGCCCAATGCCGATCACCTGCTGTTCTTTTAGTAAGCTCTCTGTCTGATTAAAGGAGAAAAAACTCAAGGTAGGTAAAAGATTATTAAGATGTGACTACACAGAGGAAGGTCTTGCCACCTTGATTCAATATGTACAATAACTTTCAACTCCTGTTTGAAGTGCGGTCTTTGAAAAACAGCCACACTTGCTCGGTGAGTCACCGTACTTGTCTTTGAAACTCTGGTCATAGTGCCATGCTGATGAGTCCAGGTCATTTCTGCCAAGACACTTTAACTGTACTTTACCTTGTTATATAAACTAAAATCGAACACAGGGTTTTTAATTAAAATCTACTTACCACTGAATTCTATTTTTGTAGAAATGTGTATGTTAAAACTAAGAGTTTCCCTCTGTTCTGCTGGCCCTGCTTGTGCTCTGATATTTGCTGACACTGTTCAGAGTCCCCACATGCAAGCTTCCTATCAGGCTGCTTCTCTCCCATTTGCACTCCAGCTTAGCACATAAAGATGTGCAGAGAGTAACAGAAAATAGAGATTGTGGAGTTGCTCAAAAGTACATTTAAAACTAGAGGAGGGATGCTGAGCCCCAGAAACAGAAGTCCCACGAGTGAGCACTGCTTCCCTTTCGTCAAATGACATCTGGACACAGGCTGGCTTCTGTGCTGAGTCTTAGGAAGCCTGACAGAAGTCTTCACACCCAACAAACATCTGGACACAGGCTGGCTTCTGTGCTGAGTCTTAGGAAGCCTGACAGAAGACTTCATACCCAACAAACATCTGGACACAGGCTGGCTTCTGTGCTGAGTCTTAGGAAGCCTGACAGAAGTCTTCACACCCAACAAACATCTATTGACTATTTGCTCTGAGTCAGGGACAGAAAAAAAAAGTTGGGATGTCTATATCCTGGTCTATTTCCCAAGTGTAGCCCTGGGTAATGCACAGTATAAACTGTTGTAACAATGGGTTGAGAGCCAGGAGAGCAGTGGATCCCGCACTGAGAGCTCAGGGGTGTTAGGGAAGAGGCCACTCTGAGGTTTTACCTGATCCAAGAGAAGCTTCATTCACTGGGTACAGCAAGCAGCTGTGAGACATTCCTAAAGAAAATCTTGCCAAAAAAACAAAGAAAAACTATGGGGCAATTGTTCCTAATTGGGGAGATGTGAATGAAAGGTAATAAAACAGTTGGGTGTACTTAACACACACAAAGCCGCCTAAACTGTGGCTGGGTACTGGAAATCTTACTAGAGCTTATCTAAAAAGCAGCTGGAATGTAGCAAGCCTGAAATTTAGGGTTAAGTCTTTGAAAAGGCAGACACCTACCTAGTCTGCCACAGCAGGATGCTTGGTCACTTCTGCACTCTGGATGATGATATTTTTTTGTCCACATTCAGATCAGACGTACCCCTGCCAGGTGCTTTAATACCAGCACTCGGGAAGCAGAGGCAGGCGGATCTCTATGAGATCAAGGCCAGCCTGGTCTACATAGTAAGGCCAGCTGGGGCTACAGGCAGACCTCATAAAAACCAGGAAAAAAAATTCTTTTTTTTTTTTTTTTTTTTTGACTTGGTAAGACAGAGCTGTCTGAAGCTGTTGTTCTGTGAAACTGTGCTCAGCAGGGAAATCCCTGGCCCAGGAGGTGCTGGGCGGGTTCTTGGTGCCAGCACCCCCATTCTCCTCCTCACCCAGCATGTTTCTAGCAGCTCAGCAGATAGAAGCACTTGCCACTCAAGTCTGATGACCTGAGTCTGAGCTTCAGAACCCAAAGTGGACAGAGAACTGACTGCTGAAAATTGTCCTCTGACCTCCATATGTAGGCTGTGGCATGAACAGCCCCCTGTCACACAGATCATACACACACAGTGATAATATTTCTTAAAAAATTAAAAGCGGCTCAATTTAGAATTAGTAAGTGGGGTTGGGGGCAGGAGGTCAGGTAACAAGCCTACTTACCTTAGCTACCGGTGCACAATGTTATACCTACCACCCATGCCCTGAATTCTGAAGTAACTTACCAACTTGGGGATATTCATAGCCATATTAAATGTCAATTTTATCCTGCCATTTTTAGACTCACTCTTTTTTCACATTAGAAAGACTAGTAGTCACACATTAAAACATAGATTTCAACAGTAAATATGTTCCAGACAGATCCAAGGAACTGGTTTTTGAGACAGGGTCTCCCTGTAGCCCCAGCTGGCTTGGAACTTGCTATAGGGACCAGCCTGGCCTCTATCTCACAGAGATCTGCTGCCTCTGCCTCTTGAGTGTTGTGACTCAAGTGACTAAAGGCATGTACCACCATGACCAGTAGAACTCATTTTCTTTATACTCAGTAAATTCATTAAGAAAACAAATCATTTATAAACCAAGCTATAATTTCACAGCACTGCCCCCTCCCCAGGGGCACACATGCATTTCTTCTTGTCTGATCCCAGGGAAACTGTAAGCATTTTCCTATTTCCTTAGCAACCATGCTGTCACTAGGCTGGCCTGACAACACTTGGTTTAAGAAAAAAAAAACCACCACAAACCAGAAAATTTTTGGAATTTTCATTTCTGAGAAGCTTTCTCTCCTGTGCTTTTACATTTTAGAAATTTTGCAATAAAGAAACCTATACAATCCTTATTTGCCAGCAGAATCATGTCTTCTCTTCTGGAGTCTCTGAGAGACTCGGTGTCCATGTCCTGTAACAGCACAGCAGATGGGTCAAACCGCTGCAGCTGTTTCAGCTGCTCTGGCGAGAGGCCAGCTCCTACCATTCCTTCTCCTCCAATCCGTGGTTCCTGATGGGAAAATGAGTAAAAATGGCTGAATATCCTAAAACTGTAAGTTGGCCTGGTAAAAAAAAAAAAGTTAAAAGACAAAGGGAGTTGAGTGTGTGACATCTTCCAGAAGTAAGAGTTAATACTTTTACTTCTGTGGGATGTACATGCTATGTTCTGGGGAGTGTGGGAGTTGTAATATATGACCACCTGATGAAAGAATACGTATCAACCCACATGCTCATCAACTACAAGGACACTGCATGACGTCTAGCACACTTCAGCTATGATGCCTTAACCCAACTCCCCTTTCCTTAC